ACTCGACGGGTTAATTTGGCGGGGACTGTCAAGGGAGGAACAATTATTGATATTTCATATAAGCATCGTCCATGAAAATATCTATAGAATAGAGCCAGATCGCCAACTTTTCTACAGTGTTCCAGAGAAGTTCCACGATACGAATTGCCCTTTTTTGGTCAGAATTCAACAGTTTCAGGGTATATTTAGGTGCAGCACTCCAAATATAGTAACAGTATTCCAGGACAGGTCGGATCTGTGCCTGATAGATCATAAGCAGCTGACTGGAAGTGAGATAGCCTCTGTCCCGAAACAGATTACCAAGTTTTTGGGTTGCACTTCTAGCTTTTAATCTTACGTGATTTTCCCAAGAGAGGTTATTGCTGACAGTAATACCAAGCATCGAAATAGATGTCTCCAAAGGTATGGTTACTCCTGACAAGCTTATGTTGGGCACAGTGAGATCGGTTTTTCTAGAGAAAAGGCATGGTAGTATTGGTATAGTGTTTTGTTTGCATCGAAATGTACCAAGTTATTGGATCCCCATTCGAGAATTGTTGCCATATTAATGCTGTCAACATGTCTACCTCGTTCGTTTCTGTTTTGCCTAGCTGGTATTGGAGCCCTGGAAGAGAAGGCGGTATGGAGGGTACTATCATTCGCGAAGCTGTGTACTGAACATGGTGTTGCTTCCAAAAAAATCTTGATATGGAGTAGAAATAGTGTTGGTGCTAGAATTGATCCTTGCGGAACACCAGCATTTATGATAAGAGAGTCAGATGAAAATCCGTCGACCACTACAATCCATTTCTATACGAGACACCCAAAATGACCCTTGATCACTAATTAGGTAGTTGTTGGGGTCTCTCTCAATGATCGTGGGTCTTCAATGACTCACTTACGTAATCTTCAATTACTCACTTCATTTCGTATGTCATTCATTTGACCAAATCTAGACAGTAGTAATAGAAATGTTCCTCATGTATGTTTCCAAAACAATACTTTTCAATGATTTGTTCTTCATCAGAACTGAATAATCCATATGTGTCTTCGTTGAGACTATGGTATTTGGATCGTCAATTGGATACTAATTTATTTCCATACGATACACCTAAAATGACCCTTGATCGATGGTAGCCCAGTTGTTGAGTTAACTCTCGATTAACGTGGGCCTCTAATGACTTGCTTACGTAAGTTGATGATGCGTTCAACGAATTTTATTTCAGCGCGCATATATTCTCACTTTCTCCTCACTTTCTTCACGACCTTGGACTTCCCATGCAACACTATTTGGTATTCTCGCGAGGTTCCACATTTGGTTCTTGCGTCACGTTAATGCCCAAGACTGTTATATAACAGCCAAAATCCTGTTAGTGTTGTCTACGCTTCTTTTACGAAGAATAGTGAACGAGCTGGACAGTTTTCACTATCGGGTACTCGAGAAGACCGTTCGAAAATATTGAAAGTTGTTTATGTAGACATTCACCTAATAAAGGTAGATTTATTGTAAAACTGTTAAAACGACGAAACATCTAGATCGTTCGTATGGTTTCACAATGAATCGATTGAATGAATACCTGGAGGAATGTTTTCTTTCATTACGGTGATTTATCAGCTTCTCCTATCTATTGGAATTCATCAAGTAGAAATCTCCTTCACTATCACACATTTCATGCTCAGTGACTGTCTATGGAATCCTATTCCCAAATTTTTATCAAAATGATAAACTTGCGAAGATACATGATATAAATCACATACTGTATTGGAATTCTGTCTACATTTGGACACTAGGGAGAGGTGTTAGAGTGAACGTATTAAGATGTTCATGTTGTATTATCAGATGTGCTTTTGTGATTCCATCCATAATTTTCCATTTGTCAACTTCATACAGTTTCTCAATTTTGAGTAATATACATACAGAGAAGTGCACAAAAAACGGTCAGTGCTGTAACTTCTGAATCATTCGAGATAGTATTTTCGTATTGAAAGTTGAGGTCATTTCCGTTGGAAGTGATGAAAAAAAAGTATATTGTCAATAATTGAGCAATTTGGTATAATTGGTACCCACCAATTTCCGAAATTCGATTTCGATTGATTCAGAAGATACAGCACTGGCCGATTCTTTTGCACTTCTCTGTATGTGGAAGAATATAGCTCATTATCGAATATTTTACCTCAACTATTTATTTTCCATTTCATCGTTCTCATCATTCGAATGTTTTCCTATTGTCTTTCTGTTTTCTACTGAATTCTTTCTTCTTCTCTCTCTCTCTCTCTCTCTCTCTCTCTCTCTCTCTCTCTCTCTCTCTCTCTCTCTCTCTCTCTCTCTCTCTCTCTTTCTCTCTATTTTTCTTTCCACACTCCATGTTGTTCTTGATACTTCTCACCACTTTATATACATGAATGATTTGATAATGTACCTGTACAGAATCGTTCATGACTTCAACACACTTTTTGCTACATTTTATTGGTATTTTGAAATGTTCCAGAAACTGAATTTATTTGTAAAATTTGCCGAAGCATTATAAATTCCATCTGAGGAACTGTTGAATCAAACTTGAATGAAAACATTGAGATCAGAAACAATCAATTCAGCAAATTGGACTAACTGTAATTGACGTTCATTAAACGAATATTTACGTAGGTGATTCATAACTCACAGTGGAGGTGAAGTAAATTAGAATGGGTGGAAGAACTTACAGTCACAACTCCACCACACAAACAATTTAATATTCAAACGAATATTCGATGAATTGATATAACTGGATGATCAGCTTCACTTTCCTGATGGAATTTCCCTATTGAGTAGTATGAAAGTGTGAAGAAGTTATGATCCATTCTGTACCTATAATTATCTCCGTTCATACATAGTGTCTGTGAAAGAATCATAAACCTGCCACATATTTTTCAGACCGAAATAAGTCGATTTAAACTTTCCTCTTCACAAGTTTGCTCTTATAGGATTTTACAATAATTAGCAATAGATTTCCAAAATTTCTTCACATTATACATATAATCAATATTTTTTTCTTCCCACATAACTGATTAATCGCATATGGATAATATGTAATTCAATCTCAGTATCAAATATACTACAAAGGCAACTCAGTTTTTTGAATACATTACTTTGATTACCTCCTGTTTTATTCAAATAGTTCATTCTGTCATAAGAAGCCAAGGCTCTTTGTAAACCTGCCTGAGAAATCAGGGCATGATCAGTATAATTTGTTTATGCTGTCAACTGTTATTGTCGGAATCTGTGGAGATAATCAGAATTGATTCAATTATTATGAATTCGTATTAGAATTCTTCATCAACAAGAATGGAAACGGAAGTGAAATTCAAGATGTCCGTAAGGAAACGAAACTTCATGAAATATATTATCGAGAATGCGGAAGACACAGCTTTATACGAAAGCGTAGAAAGGCCACTGTTGTGTGTATTCTATTTTATTTCTTTATTCAGACTTCAAAGTCTGAATTCAGACTTTTTTCTCTGAATTCAAACTTTTTTGTCTGAATTCAGACTTTTTTTTCTGAATTCAGACTTTAAAGTCTGAATTTAGACTTTTTTCTCTGAATTCAGACTTTTTCATTTAAATACAGTCTCTTTGCATGCCATGCTACCCAACCATTGTTGAGTTAGTATCGTTAATGTCGAATATAGTTCTCGAGTTATTGATCTATTCAATCATCAATCTTGCATTATATCAGAAGGATTGATTTGGTCATAAGTTATACTATTTTGGCAGCACTTATGCTGTCAACTACCCTATGAAAAGTGAGACTCGCCATATATATTATATAAACTATATTCTCGCTTTTTATATAGGGTATAAATATATTTGAATGAGCATCACACCATTTATTATAGACGTTTTGACGTAGTGACCTGACCTGCAAATAATAATAAAATTAATCAACCCCATGAAAAATAAATGACATAGAAGGTAGGTACTAACTGAAATCAGTGTATTACCTAATGTGAATGTGTTATTCAATGAATTAATAGGAAAAAGTCTGAATTCAGAGAAAAAAGTCTGAATTCAGACTTTAAAGTCTGAATTCAGAGAAAAAAGTCTGAATTCAGACAAAAAAGTCTGAATTCAGACTTTAAATTCTGAATTCAGACTTTTTTCTCTGAATTCAGACTTTTTCCTATTAATTCATTGAATAACACATTCACATTAGGTAATACACTGATTTCAGTTAGTACCTACCTTTTATGTCATTTATTTTTCATGGGGTTGATTGATTTTATTATTATTTGCAGGTCAGGTCACTACGTCAAAACGTCTATAATAAATGATGTGATGCTCATTCAAATATATTTATACCCTATATAAAAAGCGAGAATATAGTTTATATAATATATATGGCGAGTCTCACTTTTCATAGGGTAGTTGACAGCATAAGTGCTGCCAAAATAGTATAACTTATGACCAAATCAATCCTTCTGATATAATGCAAGATTGATGATTAAATAGATCAATAACTCGAGAACTATATTCGACATTAACGATACTAACTCAACAATGGTTGGGTAGCATGGCATGCAAAGAGACTGTATTCAAAGGAAAAAGTCTGAATTCAGAGAAAAAAGTCTGAATTCAGACTTTAAAGTCTGAATTCAGAGAAAAAAGTCTGAATTCAGACTTTAAAGTCTGAATTCAGACAAAAAAGTTTGAATTCAGAGAAAAAAGTCTGAATTCAGAGAAAAAAGTCTGAATTCAGACTTTAAAGTCTGAATAAAGAAATAAAATAGAATACACACAACAGTGGCCTTTCTACGCTTTCGTAGCTTTAGGTATTGCTGCTACAGAAATAGAGATAATATAAAACGTTTGCAGAATTGTAAATTCAGGGATGTATAACTCATGAAGTTTTGTACGGTAAATCGACTCTAATCGACTTATTTTGGACTTAGGAGTAAGTGCTAGACTTTTTAGAGGAACTCAGTTTTTCGTCAAATGTTGATGTTGAGATTCTGAAGATTATTGAATTTGAAATATATTTGAACAGATTGGAGCAAGCGCTGGAACTACCCCTATGAGTGGAGGGGGTCTAGGAGGTTTAACGAATATTTTATCTCAAGTTGATTTACCAGGATTATTGAGAGGAGTTAATAGTTTAGTCAAATTAGTTGGAGCATTTTGTCCACCATTGTCACAGGTAATTATTCTTTGGGTTAATAAATATTATATATTATATAAATTCAATGTAGGCTACATTATTTATGTTCGTTTGAGATTATTTGAGGTAATTTCCGCGAATATTGAAAAAGGTGTCTTTAAATCTTGTGGGTATCTCAAATCATTCATAAAGCACAAATGAAAATCATGGGATAGAATTATTTTTGATCGTGATCAGCAATGATGGAAGTTTCTTGTCATACCACCCTGTAAAAGTATGTAGGAATCGCTGAGAATAAATTCATGTTCAATTGAATCTGCAAATGAAGCACATAATGAAGTTGAATTCCAACCAATCAATTAATAATTAAGGTAACATGTTTCATATAAATTTGAATAATTAAATCGATATCAGGTGCTATTAGATCAAGAAATCTGGGTCGGGGTTCCAGTTATATAAGAATATGACTCAATCGCGAATGGTCTGTATCATGTTCCGATATTCCACAGTGTTTTCGATTCTCGATACTATTGCTATTGACATATACAGACTTGGTGGAAGAGTACTCGACTGTTGAGCCAAATTAGGTCTTGAGTTGGTGCCCACGGCAGACTGATTTTCATTTATAAACTCAATTTTGAATACGAAATTGGGAGTATTTGATAAAAGATAGGTTTGTACGAATCAGTGTTACTTTCAAATTAACAGTTCCACTTCTAACGAAGCATATGGAGTCAAGTAACAAAGCATACACATAACACGCGTGGGCTGAACAAAATTTTTTACAGTCGATGGCGAATTGTTATATAAACACACAATAACAAAGAACACGTATCTACCTATCTGCCTAGGCCTTGTTCGAATAATGGATTACACAACTATTATACATTAACCGATTTGGATTAAACTATAGAGTTGAGAAAATATTTTTGCTTCATGAGATTCAGGCATCACTCCATGGAATAGTTCAATAATGATCATCAATCAGTACAGAAAATTAATGAGGATACTCTCATACCTTAGCTTATGTATTGGTTTTACTTTGTATTCTATGAAGGTATCGTAATATGATATATTTCACAATTCATACAGCAGTGGTTGAGTCTTGGGTCAGCTCAAGTTATGTTTCAACTCTAGCACAAACAGGTGTTGCATTGTGGAAAAGTAACTGCGCGAAATATAAGACCACTTTCACATGAGTCAAGCTTTACACCATGATTATTGTTATGCCATGATTTTCAATTCTAAAATAATTTGAAAAAATGCAATATAGCGATTACTCTTTCCAGCTTTGGATAGTATAGGGACAAATGAACAAAATGTTGAACAAACTCATTCAGAGTATTCAGACATCAATTTGCACTACATTTTCACTATATTGTATCATTTATAAGGGGCCCAAATCATAATTACCTCATCAAAAAATCTACAGTGTCATTCATGAAGTAATGTATTTCGAGATTGGACTTGGGCGTTGAGATTCGCTTTGAAAAATATCATAAATGGACCACTCGGTCGAGGTCACGTGACAAAAGTTACATGTTTCTCAAATTGATCCGTGAAAATGGGCTAATCTGTTGGAATTCACGGAGAAAATATGTTTCTTTTACAATTTCACAGATGAGTATCGAATTTCAACGTCTCATTACAACTTTTAGTTTTTGCCATTTTTTTCAATTTCCACGAATGGTCTGTGAAAAATAACATCGACGGAACCACTTTATTCTAGTAGCATAATCATGCTACTAACTTACACTCAATCACTAATTATCTACAAAATATGATTCTTTTCAAAAAATAATAATCCCTGCTTAAAATGTCTGTTATGTTTGAGGCAAAGTTGTTGAATCGTTTATCATTCAGAAGCGAAATTAATTTGAATTGATTTTTTTCCGTACTCAAATGATGACAAAGTCGTCTATCAAAATAAAACCAAACTACATCACGTATCTAACCAAAAACTGAGACAGCTTTGCCGAAGTTGTCATAATTATAAATCATCAAAAAGTATCGAGAGCTAAAAGTTGCAATGAAACGTTCAAATTCGAAAAAAAATGAAAAATTTTAATTGAAACAACATTTCTTTGTAAACTTTTTTGTATCTCGATCAAATAAGTCAGTTATCAACGAATAATTTGAACAAAATCAACTTTTAACATGTAGTAAAAATCACGTGACCCCAATCAAGTAGTTAATTCTTAATATTTTCCAGAGCAAGTCGCCCAAATCGAATTTCAAAATAAATTATTGATAACAGTTCTTTCCATATGATGACGACTTTATGAATCACACTCTATATCAGCTCATAAAAAGTATTTCATGTACAATGATGAAGACTCACATTACCAAACCCTGAACAAAATTTACAATTTTAGATTCTGGATAATGTAATACAAAATGTAACTAGCACAGCATTCAGAGTATTTGGACGAGCAATATTACAAAATGGAGGTTTGGGTGGGGGACGCTCAGGTGGTGGGGGAGGAGGAAAAGTCAGTGTTGTACTCCCCACCTTCCCCCCAGATGAAGATGACGAAGATTACGACGAGGAAACGGAAGCTCCTGCAGCAGAAACCATTAACGGAAGCGGGTCTGACGGATCTCAGAGCGCTGCTGCTTTGAGTGTTCCTAGCACAAGCGCTGACGCTAGTAGTTATAGCAGTGGTGCTAGTATAGCTCCTAGCGCAGACTTGAACAGGAAGGAAGATGCATTATATACAGTGAGAGTTCAAGATATCATTTGTTGATTGTGGTTTTTGTCTTATTGTCATACTAACTCAGGCAGGAAGATTTTGCATTTCACAGGTTTAGCTGGAAAATTGATGCACGCTTTTTCAGTTGTGTTTTGTTGTGTTGTGATAATAAGAAGAATATATACATTTTTATAGTCGTTGGTTTGGGAAGTCAGATATGAAATTTTATTGAAACAAACAAAAAGATAATGTTGCATAACGACTGAAATGGATGATCAAAGTCCCAATATCAGTTCTCGTTTCCTGATAAAAACGAAATATCAGAAATCATTTCAACATATATGGACCTACTATATCAGATTCGAATATCTTCAGTATATTTCAAAGATATAATCGATGATCGTTGATATACCATAATTAGGCTGCCAAACTCCACCAGCGGCTAAAATAGAAAGAAAACTCTCAATGAAGTCGTCGAGAAGCCGATGGTGAAGTTTGGCAGCCTAATTTCGGGTCACCCTGTATATTCCAGAACATGTCGACAATCCAAAGACTACCAAATGGGTAACATCATATATTTTCATTTCTGTTTGATTAGAAATATATTATATTTATCATCATATTAAAATGTGATGATCGGTTAATCAATCGAATTCAATGAATTCATTCATGAAGCAGATAACTTAGTTCTGATAACATCAACATTGAGTAAATGTGATGACTGCAATATGATCGTTTTAATTTCTCAAGAATTCATGTAATGGGAAATTGTGTTTCAATGACACGATTTTCAGCAGTTCAATGTCAATATTAAATACAACAGGTACAATGAAATATTACCTTCCCTCTGTATAGCACGATACAAAGGGAAAGTGAATAAGTACGACGATCTATGGGGTTTACTTGAACACGTCTGAATAAACATTTGAATAGAAGAAAATGGAGTAAAGTAGTACGAACGAACCTTCGAGGATGTGGTTTTGGATTCAGGAATGTGACAAACATTCAAATGAATCAATTCCAAGGTTTATGTGTCATTATTGCTTTATGTTCATGTGCTTCCAATATCTCGCAAATTACTTCGAATAATTCCATTGTTCTTGAATAACAAATTTTTATTTCTGCAGCACTTGTGTATATTATTGTCAATAACTCAATGTGACTTGATCTATATTTTGTTTATGTATGTTTATTTGTTACTGAAAACATAGCAGTGCAGAGCACTAACCATAGAGTCAGTCATGAAGGATACTTCTAGAGAATGTTAGTCCTTAGAAGGACTCCTTTTACCAGAGAATCCCGAAGATTCGCAGTTCTGTGGGCTTGATCGACTTGGTATAGGGAGTCGTTCTGAGAACCTCGAGGTCAACGCGAAAAAGATGAGCTGACTCAGTTTGTCAAGTTTCTCTCACTGATTTTGAAAATAATCGAATCAATTTTCCTTTCATGAGAAAACAGTTTGAACATATATATATATGCGACATAGTGGGTCTTCTCAGACTAAATGGATGTCTCAAATTGCCGGTTCTTCAGCTCTATCTATGTTACGTGACTTCTTGGTTTCCAGTTTTGATCATTCGGGTAGTTTTTTTTTGTCACCTCAAGGTGTTAAATGCCTTGACTGTTATGTCAGAAGCTAATGATAACTGGTTATAGTGCTATGCTATTTTTCATTGATGAAAAGTAGCACAAGGAGATATGTCCTATATGTGTTAAGTTTTCAAGATATTGATGAGCTTTTACCTTTGTACTATTTAAATGAAGGCATTTCAAATAGTTCATTGATCAAAGTTTTTTCGATTCAAGTTTATCACAAACAGGTCATAAAACGTTGGTCATTAAATGAAAATGATTTTATCACCTCGAAAATAGATTTATTTGTATTAGTGTCTATTGAATGCAACCGTATATTGTTTGAAATATTTCAGTCACTGATTGATCTCCCAAAAATGTAAAAATTCAAAATTCTTCCTTACTGTGGAACGTTTCAAATATCACCCATTTTGTTCTAGAAACCAGGTTACCTTTCAGATATTGTATTGGACAAAATACAGTGAGGAAATATAAAATAAAACAAATAATTCATTTCAATCGTTTAACAGATATCATTCGACATAACCGTTTTACCCACCTCCATCCATCAAATAGGTGCACGTGTGTCTTAAAATAATTCATCTTTCTCAACTCTTCCAGGAATATTATGGAAACACTATGGGTTATATTCCTCCAAGTAGGATTCATTCAAGAACTACGAACTGCACCAAGGCATTATAGTTTTTTACGAGATCTTTGTGAGAATTTGTCAAAAAATTGTCAAATTTGGATCGTTCTGTTCTTTTTCTCTTCGCAATATCAGATTATCATTCATTATAATCGCAAAAACTCACACAGTGACGTCGGTAATAAAAACATTTGACAAATCATACTGCAATAATTATTCTCTCGAATATGAATACGTTATAATTGTATTTGCTCTTTCAGAATGAACAATCACCGCTGAAAATACATCAATATTGTGAATATCAATCATTTTTTACTGATGCCACTGTGTACGTTTTCCCAATCATGTTTCAAAGGCAATGAGAAGAACTCGTGAGTCCAAAATGAATGAACTTTCAACGGAAGCTACAACTGAGATATTGTGAAGAAACGTACCGTCCTGATTTATTTCAATGCACTATAGCTCCTCCTATACTTGGAGGTATACAAACTAGTATCCATATCCCTTCAAAATTTCCTGAAGTTCGAAGATCTATCATCTACTTCATTTCTCCGTGAACGAATTGAATATCCGAAACACCAATGCCAATCATTTGACTACTGAAATACTATATTTCATAAAGAGTGATCTTGAGTTTTTTTCAGACCAGTATCAGTGTTCACAGTTATGCAATTTGTTTGGGGAAATGACCTTGACCATAGTGGGCAAAATCTTGCAAATTCAGTACAGAAATATGCCAAAGAATATACGAGTTCCTATAACAGCTACACCGTGGGAAATATATGCTATTATGCGAAATTGCATAATTTTTGAAATCATTATGACTTCAATAGGCGCCGGTATTATAGTTCCTATAGTTGTATCTACAACGGTGAGAACAAACTCATACAAAATGAGAAAATTTCCATATAAAGAGTAGTAGTTGAATGATTATTATGCAGAATAGTGACATGAACATAATTTTTGTTCCAATGCAACTGTTGAATAATTAATAATTCAATATTAGAATATGACAATATTTTAAAAATAATACTAGCATATTATCAAGATTACATGTTTTCAATTAATTAATTGTTTGATTAGCATCTCAGTATTCGGGTACTTCAATTTCTTTCCGAACAAACGAAGTGAGTGATAAATCTCCAAAATATTAAGGATTTATTATCTATTTCATATACCTTCCAGTAGGGTCTATGAAGGAGGTTTAGGTCGTTTGAGTTCAACATAGTTTCAAGCAAGTTTTCAGGCTTGTCAATAAATGAGGGTTCACAGAACGAATTTGACTGCAAATCTCCTCATATTATAATAAATATGTGGAAATTTTCGTGAATTCTGGAAGGGCAAGTAATAATAATTAGAGAGGAATGAATAGGCCTGATTGCAAGAATTTTTTACTGTTACTATAGTGCGCTCCATTAACACTACTTGAGGTTATATAAATTTCTCAGAAAAAACTGGAACACATACTATATTATTAGGTTCATATAACAAATACAGGAGGTCTTGAATTTCAGAAGTTAACATGATCACACCTAAGCATCCATCAGGACTGCGGAATAACTGGTGTTCGGAATACTCAGGAGTAAGTTAGAGTTTTGATTAGGTGGTAGTGAAAAAATGTAATCGAAAATCAATCAAATGTCACTAGTTTTGGGGATTACAATATATAGTTCGACTGTGGAGAGAGAGCTTTTTTCTTGTCGAAGTAAACTTGACATGTATCAATAAGAATTTTCTTGCCTGGCAATGTGACGAAAAAAACTGCCTCCGAAAAAATGAGTCCGTAGGACGAGTAATTTTTTCTGGCAGTTTTTGAGTTGAATTACCTAATGGCAACAAAATTCGAATTAAAAATGTCGAGTTTATGGTCCCTTTATTGTCGCTGGAAAAGTTAGGGCAAACTTTTTTCGCTGTCATTATGACAAAATCACGCAGGTTGTGAGATTTTTTTAATCAAATTGTCACTCGAATTCAATTATTCGACTATAATTATGTATGCTCGAAATCTGAAGGGTAACCTATATATAGAACAAGAAGTGAGTTTTGGAAAACTTATCTGTTTCACGTTGCAAACTACATTTTCTTATACGTTCATCGAAAAACATTCAGTACATAGAATTTTTCATCAAACGGTTATATAACATTTTTGTATAGGCACTTGTTTAACTAGAGTTTCTTTGGTGAGATAGATGGTAGTCCTCCCGGTGTACCAATTCTTCCTGATGCTATTGCTAATCCAGCCTTCTCTTTCCAGTCACCTGCCGGCGAAGAGAGCAACCTCATCGCGAAGAGGCACGTGAGGGTGACGCGAGAGGCAGCGGAAGAGGAGGAAGAAGAACTGGACCAAGATGGCGCAGAATCAGCCCCCGAGCCGGCCGAGGACCTCTCCAACTTGGAGGACGACCAAGACCGTGACAAGAGGTTCCTGCCCTTCGGAGGCAGTGCCGACGGACATGCCTCCGGGGGGTCCGGGAACTTCTTGTTCGACATTATCCGGGTAAGAGAGAGGGTGGTGTAGGAGAGAGAGGTTCAGGACTCGATGTTGGTTAGTTATTCGTGAAGTGGTTGGGAAGAAACAGCGGAAGATTCAATGTTGGATCGTGTTGGACAAGGTGACTTCTTGAATCTTTATGAATATTAAATATTTTTTATTCTGGTATTCCACACTAGATAGCACAGAATCGAAAAATAAAACATTCTATTTCCTCATTTCACTTGATTATTTGGGACGTTTTCTCTTCGTTTCTATAAAATTGAGATATTAGTATAATTTCAATATAATTATGTGTAGTAGGGCAAATCAGATGATTTGCCCCAATATGTCACTGCATTCAACAAATCCTTCTATGAGGGAGCCTAAAAGAAAAATCCAATGGCTCGTCAGTGACACATATTGAAGGAATATCGGATTTTTACTTATCCTTAAACGTTTCGAGAAAGAATTTGCTCAGGTTCTCGAAATAAAAATGCAACTTCCACATCTGTGTTCTTATATTTTGACACTTTCTAGTGACTTACTGATGTTGGCATAAGAATGATGTTGGTCTACAAATGAGTTACAGGAGGTTTTCTCCAATTGATCTTGAACCTACCATTTTTATATGTCCAGTTTTCAGAAGTGAATACCATGTTCTATTCACAGTGCATGTGTCCCGTACAGACCACGCCAAACCTAGGGAAGATGTAGATCAAAGGTTGACCCACCTGCATATGACAAAATTTTCATTTTAGAAGTCTTACCGATTTCGAGATTTTTTTTTTGAAAATATCCACTATATACTAAAGTTTACAATAAAACCATTTCTCACAGTCTCCCTTCAGAATGTTTTAAATGTATACGTTAAAATCATTCTTCAGCAATATTTACTGAAGAAATGAACCAAAAAGGTGTAAAATTGCATCAACCGTAAATACAAAACTATCGAAAGGGGCAAAATTTACAAATTTTCAAAAACAAATATCTCGAAAATGGTAAGTCTTTTATGATGAGGATATTGTCATAACAGGTGGGTTATCCTTTGATCAACATTCTCCCTAGGTTTGACATGTTCTTAACGGGACACCCTGTATATCAACTGAACAGGAAGCAATGCATTATCAAGAGGAGACATAACGATAAATCAAAGCTAACTGATCATATCCTCACTGAAAATGGACAAAATAGGGCAGAGTGGAATAATGTAAAATTCATAGGAAAGGAAGTGAACAACCAAAAGAGAAAAATCAAGAAATACGCTTGCATTCTTCTGAACGGAGACAATAGCATTGCTTCCTGTTCAGTTGATATAGATAGAACATGGTATTCACTACTGAAAACTGAACAAGAAAATGGTAGATTCAATACCAATTAATGAAAACACCCTGTGACTCATTTATATACTAACACCATCACTCATTCATATGCCAACATCAGTATGTCACTGATAAGTGTCAAACTATAAAAACACAATTTTCGAATAAAAATATTTTTGCGTTTTATGTTGAGAACGGGAGCAGATTTGTTCCCGAAACGTCCGAAGATAAGTCAAAATTCGATATTTTTTCAATATATTTATATTTTTTTCGAACATATTTCCCAGCAAAATGTGTTAAACTCAGTAACATTTTGGGGCAAAATCATCTGATTCGTCCTACTACACAACTATTGATATAATACCTACTCATATTTTCATTTTGTAGTAACGAGGAGAAAAAATTCCAAATAATCAAGTAAAATGAATGTACCACCTCCTCGATTAACATACATACATTATTCTAATTCTTGTTCCCAATTATTCTCAGTGTCGAATCTTAATCTCAGATTTCCTGAAAATACGTTCCTACATAAGTCTACGCCAACAATCATCCTATAACCTATACCTAATCGAATAAAACTAAGTTCATAATACATTGAATCTAATACATTGAATCTTTCTATGTAGCTACCTCTCGAATGTCCCTTGTATATACTCCCATATTTAATTTTTCTTCGTACTTATGTGAACATACTATATCTACTTATATACCTATTGGTACACTAGTTTTTGTTCAAATTTTCAGTTTGTTATGTTATATTATTATATTCAAATGAAATTCATTTAAATCGATTGATTATGTCATTGCTGATAAATAATATGTTTCAATTTGCCATTCTCCTAGCAATATTTTTAATGAATTTGTTGAAATGTACTTTCAATTTTTTATAAACTTAAGGACAGAATGTGTAATAGCTTATCATTATTACATTTACCTATAGCATTTCATATTGTCCGAAGGAATTACTATTAATAAATAAGTTAGCGTTAGCAGTGGGGTGTAACCGTTATTATTGATATCATTATCGCTATTGAATAAATGACGATTTGTGATTGTCCTTGGATAGATTCAGTCTATCAATGAGGAAAGCTCTGTTTTCACGATATGCATTTTCAAGTTTAGTTATTGGTATCTTCATTCTGCATTCTAGAATAAATAACAAAGTTTTGTACCTTTTGAAATCGCTTATTGTTGCATTAGATCCATTTTATATAATTCAAGAGACATTATGGTTTTAGTTGGATATCAATTAATTCAGAATGTCTGTGCAAATCAATTACGCCATGCTCAGTGCAGATATAAATGGCTGATAATATATTATCATATATTATTCAGTTTCGAAAACACCTTTCATTAAACTAATTTGGTAAAAATAATATACTGTCAAGGTCTTTCCAATACAGACTTATATGCTTATATCAACATTTTTGGTGATACCTTCCTACCTACTTACCTTCTCCGCCTGAACATGTTTGCAATCAAGAAACTATAAATCAGAAAGTCGAATAGGGTAAAGTTAACCATACACTCCAACCAACATTTCATGCATTCAGAATTATTATTGAGTAAAAAAATAATGAGGATTCTGAAAGAAAACGTGAAAAGGCAGTTTCTGAGCTTGACCTGGAAAAACAGTTCAGTTCAACATCAAGCGAGAAATTCTTCACTGAAAATAAAACTAGATGATTTTCAATTTGATATTTCACAAGGGATGCTTTTCCTGACATTCCAAAGAAATATGCACGTTTCTATCGATGTGAATTCATTGTTTATCAGAAAAAGATTCTGGTCGTGTTCAGATACTCCGTCTATTAGGCATTCTATACAGGGTCACTCTTTTGTAGCAAAATTTTAACAGCTGGGATAATACATTTTTTTGAGATGCACATTCTATGTGAACATAATATAGGTATATGCGTGGGAGCTTCGTTTCCAATCAATCAATCAATCAAATCTTTATTCCTTTAGACAATAATACATTATGTCGGAAACGTCAAAATTTTCGAAAAATACATAAAACACACAATACATAGATATACAGAAACGAAATACAGTAAAAAATAAAATAAAATATCACTGTACCGGACAATCCAAGAAATCTTGCACAGTATAAAAAGAATGTTGCACCAAAAATGTTTTGAGGCGCGTTTTGAAAACTTTAAGTGTTAAACTTGATTTAATATTTTCAGATAAATGATTGAAAATACGTGGTCCTATGAAGTTAGGTGCATTTTGGGCTACTTTGTATTTTCCAATTTGTGTATGAATTAGGCCTTTCTGGCGAGTATTCCTGTTATGAATGTCTTTATTAAGTTTGAAATAGGTTATGTTGCAATAAATATAACATGCAATCTCAAATATGTATAAACTAGTGAGAGTCAAAATATTACTGGATTGAAAAATTTGTTTGCAAGTTTCTCTATATATACTCTATATATACTGGGTTAGATTTACCCTTCAATTTGGATATTAATTACTTGCGATTTTTGTTTTCTCGAAAACCTTCAAGATGAATGCCAAAAATAGTATAATTCTAGTAGTAATAGTGTAGTATATTTTTCAGCAGGATTCAAGAAACTTGAAAAATACATTTCCTCAAGATAAAAACCTCATGTAAACATATATATGCGTTGGGCGTCGTTTACGAAATACACGGCTTCAAAATTTGAGATTCTTCTTGTGTGTTGCAAGTTTTCTCCTACATTTTTCGAAATTATGAATTGAAATTTGATACATTTGATAAAATTTTGAAAGTCAATAATTGATGCTATCGAATGTTTTTGATTACCTACACGATCAAATGCTAGATCTCATAACTAAGAGATCTAGGATGAACAGAGTGGCCCCAATTGTCAGCAAGAGCGAGACAGTACTGTTTCGAGCCACCATGCAGGTCTCATCAGCCGCTCTCGGTCTGCTGACAACTGGGACAACTCTACGCTTCGGGTATATCACCCATTTCGAAGACGCAGGGTATAACATGAAGTTATAGTCATGTTGTAGATTTGTAGCTTTGCCACTAGATGGCTACAACATGACTATAACCTCATGTTATACTCTGTACCTACAGGATATGATACACTTCTGAGGTCGTGCAAACTGCAAACTTTGTTTGAACAGAAACGAAGCTCCCACTAATATAGGTATGTATGTTCATGATAGATTTCCATCTTGAAGAAATGTCTCCTTTGTGCTAAAGAAAACTGAGACACCCTGTAGAATAATCTCATCTCCGTACACATAACGTATTGAATTGAGACCCACGAGGAATAATATGTTGTATCCATATATTTGGACTAAACTATTGATCTGAGTAGGTAGGTTGGTTGCCTATCTCCTTTGTCAACTCGTCCATAAACGCTCGTATTCTAAACACTACCTACGAATTGAATGGTATACGTATGTGGTCGATAGGTTGTTCCAAAACATTGATAAGGCATTCGATCACTTCGAAATAGTGAATCAATATTGAACATCCATTTTGATCAGACTCATATCTCCATCATGACATGTACAAGGTGTAGTTGATTCACTGATGATAATGCAGAGACAAGAACATTGTCGGCAACCCTCTTCACGTTAGATTTATCGGCAATGAGAGTTCAGAACTTACCTAGGTATATCTTCTGGAATTGTTACGTATATTGCTGGTGGTTTCTTTGTGGATGTTTTCATTTTGGCAAAGTGATTTCAACTTTCGTC